GGAATGCTACACACTCCTTATGGGCCCATAAATAAGCCGATTATATAAATTTAGTTCCCTAAGCATATTTTTGATGAGATGGCCGGCGCAAGATGTGTACCAGCCGCTTAAACATGTCTCAGGAGAATTTAGCCGCATTAGACGCCGGTCGGCGATTCTGCGCAATAGCCGTTGGTGAAAACAACTCTTTAAGCCGAAAGTCGATAGCAATATTCAGACTATCTCACTACTTCGCAACGAAATACGATAAAAACACACTACAGCTGATTACATCCACTTTAGAAGAGAAGTCCGCTCCAAAACGCGAAAAAGAATGTTAAAGAAAAACTCGCCAGGTTTGGGAAGCAGAATATCCCTTTTAAAAATCATGATGTTAATCATGGCGTTAATCACCTTGGGGGGGGGGGCACACCTGGAACCTCCTGTTAGCATAACAACTCTTGTAAACTGTATACATGTCAATACCGGAACAACTCCAGTTCGCCTTGTTATAACCTGTATACTCCTGTCAAACTTGTCAAAATGAGTGTTCTACAGAAATGGAAAAATGACGTTCCAGTAACGCCCGTACCATCTCACCAAGCGCGGTACTTCACAGAAATTTACAGGACCTGCAGGACGAGACACGGTTGCCAAAAGACAAGTAAAAACAAACGGGAAGGAACACACTGAACAAGCTCAGGAGCGGCGCTACCACATCCCCCCCCTCCCAACTTTATTAGCTCCTCAATTGCTACTACGAACTGCTAATCAACATTTATGCTTCCAAACGCACCTCTGGGTCTTCTCCTTCGGCTGTTTTCTCCGCATTATCGTCTCCTCCTTTAAGACCGAGTCCACCAGTTACTTCATTGAGCTGGTTGCCCACCATCTGTTTCATCAGAAATCCAGCCATTTTTAGTTACTTAGAGGTTGATTGATCTGAACATAAAACATAGGACGACTATGATGAATTTCATTTCTGAAACAAATAGGGATTAGTCCAGTAAACTGGGTTATTCTGGTGAAGAGCATCGAAAACACCTGAAACTACTGAAGACATAATCGGCGGGGAAGCAATTTGAAGCAAGGGCGAGGGGAGTAAAGGCACGCTACCGTGCGAGTACAGAATTGTTCGCTGCGGATGCTGAGGCGTAGCGGGGATACTCGGTTTGGCGCGGCGCTAGTCCGTTCCCACTAATTGCAGTCGCTTACCTGCTTCACGTATTTGCGGAGAACAGGCTGATACCACGCCAAAAGCAGCAACGCCCTCCCTCGACATGCCGTAGCTTCCTCAGAGAACAATACTTATTTCTGCTCAATGGACCCCAGCAGCGACTCTGTCCAACTGAGCTCCTGCGCCTTGAAGAAAAGGAAAAGGACGTATAATTGTGGGCCCCCTTCCTTCGAAGTATGTCAGTGCTCACAGATCCTCACTTCAGAAAAGTCTAGAGTGGAAGGAGCCCTCAACTGGGTGAGCCCCGAGCTTCTTTCTCTCACTCTTGGGCCAAAATACCCATTCCGTAATTTGTAAGGCCGCATTCATACTTTGCGACTGAACAGATTCAGCGATTTCGGAGACTTAGCGATCCGACGTTTAAGAGAATCCGCGATCCGGCGATTTGAGAGAATGAGCGATCTGGAGTCTCGGGAGATTGAGCACGCCGGATCACCCAATCTCTCGAAACGCCAGATCGGCGAATCGTCGCAACCGCTAGCAACCGGCTCCGATCGGTACCAATCCATTGCTTTGGGGTAGAGCCGACTGAGTCCAGTCTCCCAAACAGCTGGATCTCCTCGTCACGCAATTTTTCGAATCGCTGAGTCCTCGAATCGCCGAATCTACTTAGTCAAAGTACAAGCGCTGTCTTCCATTGTTTGCACCTTCTAGTACTAAATGCCATCCAAAATAATCGAAGGAATGGGAACGAAGCCGGCAAGACCTCGCAGCTTTGATGAATTCCTTGTACGAAAATGCTATTGCAGGAATCCGACGAACTATTATTGCACCAAAATGTCCCAGTTTATTGGACTGACGCCCAGATAATGGATAATTTTATTCATGCATAAAAACCAGAAAAAAGTGACAAATAAAAATGCTCGAGGGAGATAGGTCTAGATCTAATGAAGGAGAAGGAGTACAAGACTAAGCTAAAGATTAAAGGCCAAAACATTCTCTGAAACAAACCAGACACTACTTTCGAGAAGTGGCACGCATTCTACAAGAGAAATCTGATCATAACGAAATTTTTAATATTTTGAAGAGATTTGAACCTCTAAATGAAACTCGACGTATGATTTTATCGAAGCAGAAGTGGGCGCTGTTCGGCTTGAAGGGGGCATTCTGCACTTTCGCTAGTTCCATCCAACAGTTCACATTAACTTACACGTCTCACTTCGGTCAGACCTGGAAACTACTGGGAAATTGCGAATTTATCCGGGTGAGCCACTTTGGTCACAGGAGTGTTGTCTGTCCAAGCATAGTTGAGTGCCACTGTGCCCCGATCAAGCCGAACTGCGCAGAAGTGCGCAATAATTTTACACAGCCCGAGTAAGAACCATAGCGCACTCGCGGGCTCAAAACTCACATCATTTGGTTCTTCGAGCACATTCCATGAAATCAATCCGAAAGGGCCAAACCTGGTGTAATACTTGGGAACAAAGGTATCATGCGCGTACGGGTTTTCAGAGACATCTGTCGCAAATGTCGCTATTAGCGTCGATATTCAAAGGGAAAGGGATCGACATAAGAACTGCAGCAGGCAATGCAATGAACTGTAATGAAATTCCGACAAGAATTTAGCTCAATTCATGCGTGAACCCCGGGTAAGCAAGACCGCTGAGACCAATGTGAGTGAGGCCAAAACCTAGACTCCAACCGTGCATTGCGTGCAATAAATCACGGCGTCAAGGGGTAAACAAAAAAGGTTCCGATCGATTTGCGAAAAATATGGCGTCATTTCAAAAGAAATTGGAAGTCTGGCGCAGTTCTTGGAGAGAGTAACGAATGGTATTACTAGCTAAGCTGTTCCTTGTGAACGCCTGCAAACCACCAAATGGCCCATTCGCAGCTTCATTGGAGTTCAC